ACTCTAAAAAGAGCAAGTCAACTTCTAAGGCAACAACGTCTTCACAGCAGCCCGCTCCTGTCGCCCCTGAGAAAGCTAAAACTGTCAATGACAATGTGGATTCAGTCAAAGCCAAAACTGCGAACAGTGATCAACAAAACAACATTTCCCAGGCGGCGCCCAAAATCAAAAAGGTCGATGATGCAATCAGCACCTCAAAAGTGGAGCCTGCCGCTGATCTCTACAAAGCTTCTTCTGACTACAAAAGCAGTTTTGCTGATTTTTCGTAAGGAACTTTCTGTGTTTAATGTCAATTGATGGCTTTTAACTTTGATTGTTTTGTTTTCATAGGGATTTGGAATCACTGCATGAAGATTCTAGCTGGAACGATGCAGCATTCACCACAGTTAACAAGTCATCACGCAAGAATGCGAGGAAACATGCTGATTCTGCCGCTGGTACATCTTCTCAGGCATCAGGCGCTGTTCTGGGCAAGAGAGAAGAAGGCTGGAAGGAAGTGGTTCGCAAATCGAAAAAAGTGCTGGTACCATCAAACGCCATCAGTCGTGTCATTGGCCGGGGTGGATGCAACATCAACACTATTCGCGAAGTATCCGGCGCCCATATTGAGGTGGAAAAGCAGAAAGGACAAGGCGATCGAATGGTCATAATACGCGGTTCTGCGGACGCAACCAGACACGCTCACACTCTGATCACTGTGCTGTCGAAGGAAACGGAAAAAGAACTTGTGGAGATTATTCGTGAGCTTGGCCTAGACTCCTGCACGAGCTCTACCAGTGCTACAACGACCACTATCAACACTGCGACCACCGCTGCGACCTCATCAGTGGCTCTGCCCGAAGTGGCCAACGGAAGCTCCTCTTCTACTGCACCAACTTCTATTGAAACCACAGAGCATAAGGAACCAGCAGCACAAAGCAGCACTGTCATCCAGGCTTTACCAGTTACGAGCAGCAGCAGTAGTAGTGCTCGGGGCTCAAAGGCCAAGGCTGCTTCTGCTGGGGTCAAATCTGCAGCGGCAGCAACAACATCGTATGCCGTTTCAAATCCTACAATGATTTTTACCTCGTCAAGTTTGTCAAAGACTTCTAAAAATCCATCCAGTATCGTTTCGATGGACACGACTAACTGGACAAACTCCTATGGAAAGGCAGCTGCTACTTCTCAGACGACAGCGACTTCTTCCACCACTGCAAACTCCGTATCCTATACGAAGGCTATCAGCTCAAAGACGAGAAACTCTTCCAACACCACTACAGCTTCATCAGTCGTGTCCTCCGATGCTGAAAATGGTACCACTTCCCCTGCCGCCATGTCTGCAGTTCCGATAGAAAGCGTCGAGCACATTGCTCACCGAGATTCATCGCAACGCAGCACACCGACAATGCAAATACCCAGACAGTCTCCGTTCAATTTGCAGCAATCTCAACCGCAGCCACCAATTCAGCCTCCTCCTCAGCAGCAGCAGCAGAAACTTGGATTCACAAGTGCCAACATTGTGGATGGATTGGTGTTTGACTCTTCCAACCAGGTATTACTTTTTATGAGGTTGAGATTTAAAATGGTTTCTCTAATGCTGGTGTTTTTGTTTTACAGATGCACTCAAATCCTTATAAAAGCAATGTGGCCAGCTCATTGTTCCCTTCGTCGTCTCAATTTGTGGCCGGCAGTATTCCAAGCACATCTGTTTCCAATGCCAGTCCAACAGTGGCTCAGTTCATCTCGCCCACTTTGCCAAAAGACACCAGGAGTCCTTCTAGCATGTCCTCTTTGGACACTGTTAATTGGACCAACTCCTACGGAAAGGCTGCAGCTTCTCAAACAGCAGTATCTGCAGCTGCTGCTTCAATCACCGTTTCACCGTATACGATGGCCATCAATACAAAGACACGAAACCTTTCTTCCAACTCAGCAACGGTGCCATCGAAAGTGTCCCCATCAGAGGCTGAAATTCGAACTATTTCGCCCATTGCACCACTGCCGCCGACCCTTACCCCAGAAAGTCTTGAGCACCTTGTTCATAGAGATTCATCGCAGCGAAACACCCCGACAATGCAATTACCGAGGCTTCCCTCCTATAATATGCCGCCACAACAGTCGCAGCAGCCACAATCAGCGCAGCAGAAGTTCAATTCTTCAAATATTGGCAATATCGTCGATGGTTTGTCATTTGATTCACCGAATCAGGTTTGTTTATTCTACACTAACTCAATAGAATTGCTCTGCTCTAACAAATATGTTTTGTCTTCTAGGTGTCTGCAAACCACTATAAAAGCGCTGTTGGAAGTTCAATGTTTCCATCTCCAAATCAGTTTGCTGGCAGCATTTCAAACACAGCTGTTCGAGCTGCAATTGTAAACTACTCGATGAACCTGTTTCAAAATCAAGTGCCCAAGCAACATCAGGAAGCTGCTACTCGGCTCGCTCACTTGAGTGCCCAAAATTCAAACTTTGTTGGCAATGAATTTCAGAATGTTTTCATTGGAAGCAATGGCAGTACCGCAAACACTGTGGGCATCTCCAGCAATACCGTCAACTCTACTATCAACACTAATGGAGCAATGAATGCTGCGCCGGTGGGCTCTCAGCGGGATCCACAACATCATGAAAAGAACAGGATTTTGCAGTACATGTACCAAAATCAGTTCAAGCCTACGCTGTCGATGAGTAGCTCCACAAACACCAACACCTATGCCCAGTCACAGCAGAGCTCCCAGTACAGCTCTTCATTTGGCCAACCCGGGCCCTTTGGAGCAGTGGGAGGTGTTGTGCGCAGTTCAGTTTCTTCCTCCATTAGCACGCCATCTTTCTCTTCGCTGAACTACACCAACTCGTCCGACTCTATGAACTCCTTGAACACTGTGCCCTCTAACATCTTTTCGACCACTTCTCTTGGCTCTGCAAACAACAGCGAGCTGGACGATTGCATCCAACGAACCAAGCAACCTGCTCCAATCGGCACTGAGCGTGCTCAGCGCAAGAATCCACTGCATGCCTTTGGATCAGTGGCGCAGGCTAACCACAGCGGCATTGGCAACATTGGAAATCAAGGGTCAATGAGTTCAAACTCAATCTTTTCGGACCAGCACTTTCCTTGGAGCATTGGCAGCGGCGGCAATGAGTTCTCTCAGCCAACTCAGGATCCAATTTTCTCCAGCACCAATCCAAGTTCCTCTTCTTTCAACGCTGATTACAGTGAGCTCTTTCCCGGTCCAAGTTCTTCTTCAATATCAAATTTGCCCGAGTTAGGCCAATTTGATTCGTACTCGGTATTAAATCGTCAGTCATCGCTTCAAGCACCATCATATAACTTGCAACAACAGCAGCAGCAACAACAACAACAGNAAGTTCCTCTTCTTTCAACGCTGATTACAGTGAGCTCTTTCCCGGTCCAAGTTCTTCTTCAATATCAAATTTGCCCGAGTTAGGCCAATTTGATTCGTACTCGGTATTAAATCGTCAGTCATCGCTTCAAGCACCATCATATAACTTGCAACAACAGCAGCAACAACAACAACAACAGCAGCAGCAACAACAGCAAAAGTTCAACTCAATCAACATGATCGATGGACTATTTTTCGAGCCAGCTAATCAGGTACTTTTTGGGCGATAATAGAGAAATCAGAACCATTTAATAATTGCTTGTTATTCACGTTTAGATTTCACCAAACTCTTTCACAAATGTGAATAATGTTGGAAGTTCGCCTTTTTCGGCAAACTCGCTTCTAGCGAGTGGAAACGCCACCAACATGGACTCTGATTACTGGTCCTCTTCCTCTTCGTCATCGCACGTCAAGCAAACAGCTCCCAACTGTTCAACTAGCGGAATAAACTCGGCTTTCGATAGCAAACTTGTAAGTCCTTAGAAACGTATTTTATCAGCAATACTAATGTGTATAATTTTTCAGACCTGGAACACCTGGAACTGAATTGATTCTTTCCCACTTTTCAACTCATGAGCACCATAAAACGTCACCAGGCATATGATTAATATTAGTAGTATTCTTTATGTTACCTTGCCATATGCCAAAACACTCAATTCACCAACCAATTAGTGTGGGCCGTTCCTTTCATCAGAAGCAATCTTTACATCATTTCTCTTCTGTTTATTTGTGTTTATTCAACAAGAGAAGTAATAATCATTCGAGTGAAACTTTGTGATTAGCCCTGAATCTGTCAATGTTTGACTCACTTCCAGAGACTGCCACTTTCACACACACAATTGATTTTTTAAGAAGAGCTCTTGGCAGCTCTGAAATACACAATCGTTTTCTCCTCTCTTCCCGACTCAACGAATCAACCGTTTCCCCACCGAGCACATTAGTCTCGGTTTACCCGGTGTCATTCACAGCCTGCACCACCTCCACACCTCCACCTCCTCCTCCTTCTAACACTTTCTTTTTTCTCTCCTTCAAGCCACTACTACCCCTAATACTAGTGATACAAAGTTGTCTTATGCCGAGAAGAAGCATTACCTTTGTTTTCCCCTTTAAAGCAGTTTATCTTGTCGGTTCATCGTTTTGCTGACCTACCCAATTCACCTTCTGCTGAGCTTGTTGGAGCAGAACAGTATGAGTGTTGCCTAGTGTATTTGCGCTGTGTGTTTACTCCCCCTTTGTCTCCTCCCCCCTTCCCCCTCTCCTAATCTGCTCTGGCGCAGGCAAACTCCAATGCACTGAACGAATTTATAATCATATTACTTATTGTACGAAGATTTAACGTGTCTGTTTTCCTACCACTTTTGATCACACTCACATTATTATTATCACTTGCGTCACTTTTCGTTTTGTCAAATGCTGTAGCGGATGCGCTTTCTCTCCCTCTTCCGTGACCTTTGACACTGTATATAAAAAATCACTTTTCTTTCACAATAAAAACCATCCGCTGCTCATTAAAAACACTTTGTTTCAGTTGCATTTATTTAGTGAGTTTTCTTTAGNTGCTCATTAAAAACACTTTGTTTCAGTTGCATTTATTTAGTGAGTTTTCTTTTTTAACAGCTAAATGTTGCCTTTACTGCTCTTCTCATCCACCTTTTCCGAATTGACTTTGCCAAGGGAAGGGCTAGGCGAACTTGGCTTGAATTTCTCTGAGAGGTTGGGGGAGTTCACTTTAAAGTCTTGCGGGCTCTTTTTCAACGGCATTTCCATAGATTTTTCTGACTTTTCTAGAGTTGAAGTAGTACTCTTTATTGTCAGTGCCGATTTACTGATGTTGCTTTTGGATTTTTCCACTTCATCAATTTGGTTGCTTTTGATCTCTACTGAAGCAGAAGATGCAGTGGACTTTTCGTTCTCCATTTTTGAGCAGGCTTTCAGCAACTGGTACTTTTGCACTTGTTCCTCTCTAAGTTTTTCCTGCAGCGCAACCGGAGTGAAAAATTCTTCTGGCAACATGCTGACAAGATAGGGGAACTTTGAGAAAATAGTTGCCACGCGATTGATCCAAGGCGGGATGGTGTTGCCGCAGAGAATTTTGCAAAACTCAGTTGAGAAGCTGTTGCAGTTTCGATAGAGAAGATGGTAATTGGTTCCTATCCAGTCAGTCTTGCCGAGATTGTCCAGCTGTAGGGAGAGGAACGTTTTTGTAGTGCCAGGTGACCTAACTGTTGGAGTTAAACAACTTACGATCATTTTCACTTCTTTCAAAGTGAAATGTGTCTTGCCCATTTCAATTGTTTGCACAAAATGAAATCGCCCATCAATGTCGGAAAGCGATGTCAAATCACGAGGCTTTCTCATGCGATATATACTGGCAATTGGTTTTGGATAGCCTACCATAAAAGATGGTAGAGAAGATAGCTTCCTTACCGAAACACTACTAACTTACCGCCATAAGCCCATTCGCTGCCGTACACTTCAACGCCCGAATGGTAGATGCCCAGTCCAAAGTAGTTGATCACCTTCAGAAAGAAGAACAAGTTTCTATCATGATTTATCAAGTTTCTCTTCTTTATCACCTTGTTCACTTCACTCAGTCCGTACACATTCAACTTGACCATTTCACCTCCGTCCGAAGTCTTGCTAATCTTTACCTGGTCTTGATCTGTGCCGGGTACATTTTCACTTGAAGAAGCGGCTGAACTTGAACTAAAGCTGCCCATAAGCTTAAGAATGCTGCTTTTCTCTCGAAAGTTTAGTGTATTTGAGCCTTTTTCTTGATTATCATCTTTGCCCGAAACGCTCTTTTCATCAGGTAAAGCCATTGTATTACTTTGCTAAGCGGCTTAGTCCGTTGTTTTATAAACCGATTGTTTAAACAAAATAGAAAAAAAATCAAATTAGAACAAAAAGCGTCTTTATTTCAACGAACTTGGTCTGTCGTTTTTATTTAGTGTGTTATCTTTATTGCAAACGGTCAAAAATTCCGATCAAGCTCTGATGGACTACGAATCAGTCAGACAGCACCCTCGAGGTCCTAGACCCAGTCCGACAATGCCCCTCTTGCTCGTCTTCCTGGTCATACTCGGCCTCTGTGTTATCACCGTCTGGATCGAGTCCAACTACGGCATTCTGGAGAGCATTTTTCGCATCGTCTCCTCGGACGATGAACGCTCTTCAGTGGAGGAACGCCTTCAGAAGTACAGTGGCTCCGGTCGCAAGGGCAACAAGTCGAAGCGCAAACGAACGTCCAAGAAGCGCAAATCGAGGAGAATGAGCCTCACTGATGACTCGGGGGATGAAGAGGACGATGATGACAGCGTCCGAAAGAGCAGTTCAAAGCACAAGAAACGTCGTCGTCGTCGTCGAAAGTCTCAGAAAAAGCAAGCGGANAATGAGCCTCACTGATGACTCGGGGGATGAAGAGGACGATGATGACAGCGACCGAAAGAGCAGTTCAAAGCACAAGAAACGTCGTCGTCGTCGTCGTCGTCGTCGTCGAAAGTCTCAGAAAAAGCAAGCCGATATCATAACCGACTCTTCTTAACTCCTCCGCGAGGACTAGGCTACAAACAAGTCTACTGTTATTTGCAAACAGATTACACTTCAATAACCAAAACTGGCATTTATATGTTTTTTCTATAACAAGTACAAAAACTACATTTCACAAACAAGTTTTACTATTTACAAGGGAGCCGTGAGTTTAGTTTTTTGCCGAATTCTTTTTAGGTGCTGCGCCCTTTTCTTCTTCGTCCTCTTCACTCAAATCGTTGGGATCACTGTATCCGTCAATGTAATTCCAAAACGAGATGGGAAACTTTTCAGGAGAAGGTTCCGATAAAATTAAAACTCTTGATATAAAATCACCTAGGTTATAAAGAATTATTGAAACTGCAAAATCTAGAGAGTGCTGTGTTTACCTGGCGCTCCTGGTGGTTTGTGTTGATCTATAGAGCTGAGGACTGTTTCAATGTTTTCTTCCAGCGCCTGATCGTTCTGTCCCAACCGACCAAAAGGCAACTGAACATAGCCATAGTCAGGCTCAATGTCGTCCTTGATTAGCTTGTACTCGAAACCATTGACAAAGTGTGTCACCAATCGAGCCATGTCAAAGCCGATGTTTCCCCGTTGTTTAGTTGGGAAATAGTAGTTGATTTCCTTTTTTATGGCGGCCAACTCAATGAGCATATCACCATGGCAAACGAGGTCGTCAAAATTCTCCATTGAAAGCTCTCCTGCCTTCAGCATTTGAATAATGTCTGTCGAACCGACAATTTCGGCACCGGCATTCTTGGCAGCTTCTTGGTCATCATCGCTCTTGCAAATGGCCACGACTTTTCGCTTTGTGCCATGTTCAAATGCGTTTGAAAAAGAGATGATGCTCCGGAAGTTTTCCACAAACTTGGTCTTTTTCTTAGTTCGCAAATCAAGTTCAACCTTGGCCTGCACAAGTGCATTTGGTTCGTCGTAAATGCCTTCTTGATGAGTTTCCCGTAAAAAGGCTAAAGCCTCAGGAATGGAGAGCTTTCTCTCTTTGTAGTGCTCCAAAATGTAAACATTGTCCACAATTTCGCTAAGTTCCTTTCGATTTTCGTCGTTGAACTTTTTAGAAACTGCATTCAAACGTCTGAAAATAACGTTAGTAAAAGTCAACATGAAATAAACATCTACACTTACTTGTCCACGAGGTACTTTTTGGGTTTCCATACTTTTGGGGGAGCATTCTTCATCTCTTCTCGTCGTATTCGAGCTAGGCGTTGTTTCTCTCGTGTAGCAGCAATTCGCTTGCCCTTTCGAGCTGCATATCGTTTCTAGGTAATAATTGCAAGGTTGTGATTTATGAGAAAACAGGTCGAATTGTTACCTGAATGCAAAAGATGTCATTTTCAGTGTTTTCGTTAATGTTGCTGCTCAGAATCGGTAAACGACTGGCCAGAAACCGACCTTGAAAACAAAAGTAAACATATAAAAAGTTGACACTTTTTTATATTCTAAAACTTACCTGTGTTCGCCTTGAGCAGGCCATGTAAACAGTTTTGCAAAAAAGCCATCTTAGGCCAGGTAAAGATTGATGTTGAAGATGCGGCTAGAAAACTGAGAAAACATGTGATTGCTGTAGAAATGGGATGCGACGCACCGAGTGGAAACAGACAGTCTAGGCGATTGTATTTTGATTTGGATTTATCAGTAGGACATCCCCCCAAATGACAATCACTGGGAAGGCTATGAATGTGTCTATTGCAATCACTAAGCGGCCAGTAATTACCTCGATCGATGATCGCCGACGGTAGTGGGCAGGGCAGACGCAGGTACAGACGGCCTGGCAGAACTGCTTCAAATGAGTGACAGGTAACAAGCGAGCGCACATGGTCCAGTGATTCATGCGACTTATCACCTGGGTACAAGATAACAATTGTCAAATGTCTGAACATCGAAGACTGCCTGCCTGACTGGAAGGTTGATACAAAGTCTGTTTGCCTCTAGCCCTCGTACAGAGCGTTTTCACACTTGTTGATGCTGCAAGCTTTTTTTTCATCACACTTTGTACCTCGTATCTTGAAGCTTCTACTCGCTCTGCTCACCCACCCAGACACCACTGGACTGTACTGATTCACTGATAACTGGAGCAAAGCTACTGGCGAATATGTGAACGATGATAGCTTCTGCTTTGAGCCTTCTCCTATCTACCGTAAAGCTGTGGATCTCAGTCCTCATTCTCGCCGTCCTCTCCTTTGCACTTTACGCCGCCTTTTACTACTGGTATATTCCGCACTTCATATCAACATTTCCACTCTTCTTCCAGTACGATGCAGCCTGCACCCAGCTGGGCGTCTCCCTGCAGGCCAAAGTGCAGGAGAACCTCAACTCAGGGGAGCATCTACTGAAGCGGAGCATCGGCGCACTGGAAGACTGTCAGTTCGTGCACTACGATCTCTATCACAAGCACCGTTACTTCTTCCTCGATGGTCAGCAGTACAACTTTGAAGTTCGCCTTGACATGCCAGACTCTGCTGTGAACCACGCTCTGGGCGTGTTCATGGTTCGCCTGAGGCTGTACAATGAAGCGGACAAGGAGCTGTTTAGCGTTGCCCGACCGGCACTGTATCCATATCAGAGCACGTACTTGCGCCTAATCAGGCTGGTCATGGGCACCTTCCTCTACTTGACAAACGTTTATAGCGAAAGTAATATACTTAAAGTTGTACTCATCGACGAGCATGTGCCGCAGGTGGACGTCGTTTCCTTCGCACAGGTCGATCGGATTCGCGTGGAGATAGAGACGTACAAGGCCATTGAGATACAGCCACCCGGCCAGCTGTACATAACCGCCAGACTGCAGGGCATCCAGTACTGGATGTACTTCTGGCCGATCACCTCTCTTCTCCTCTTTACCTGCACCATCTTCTCCACACTCGTCTTCAGTTGCCTGATCTTTTACATTCGTCAGCTACTTAACCCTCCGCAGATGAACAGCTCAAGCGAAGCACCCAGCTCATCACTGGTATCCAGCAGCAGCAACAGTGCTCTTACCAATGAACTTTTACCTCAAGGACTGCCGTCATCACCAAAGACTGAGAAAGCCGTTCAAGGAGCGCCGCAGGACGACTTTGATAGCGAGTTTGAGGACTGATTACAGCTGCTGATAGTCCTACTGTAGAGGCTCGAGGCTCATCTTGCTGCTCTTCCAGCCAACCCTTGCCTTTTACGTCTGCATGGCCTCAATCGACGCCGTAATGCAGCGATGTGTGCTATTCTGCTCGGTCACCATCACCACCGACGTAGCACAGCAGTTGCTCTCGCACGCAAGCACAATCCCAACCAAGTATTATCATCAGCGAGCATGCCGCCGATGGCGTTCTCATTCCGATCACCGAAATGGCTCTGAAATTGATTCACTACTCCCTGCGACCTTGCCATTGTTGCTCACTAATGTCTTCATGCAACATATAATAAAGTAAACTATTTTCAAACCAGTCTCTGGTGAACTTTGCAATGCTCGACAGTTGCCAGACCAGTTCTCCCGGTCACAGTTTGTCTGGAGACGGTGGCGGAGAGCTAAAGTGGAGCTGGTCTGAAGTGGATAAACGAGGTTCTTTGACTCCTTCATCTGCACTGCACTGTGGCCGCCACAGCTGCCAGAGTCTGGCGATGGCGCCCGCAGCCGTCAGCCTGTCAGAAAGGGAGCACACAGCCCAGTGTGATCAGCCCGAGTCCGTTGGCCGCCAAGTGTGCGTACTTCTAAAAATGGAATGCTGCCCATTCTCGTTCCTCCTCAGTGCCACGACGTTTGTGCCGAAAATGGCATTTGGTCGCCCATTTCAATGACCTCTTCTGGCACAGAGCCGAGGCGCATCTGCCTGCTTCTCAGTCAGATTGACTGCCTGCTTGGCAGTCAGCCCTGCAACTGCGGTCACTTCCGAGTGCACAGTGCATGCTCTCTAGTCTTTCCCAAACACAGCTAGGCGTGTCATTGGGCAGAGTATAGCACACTGCAGTGCTGTTCCAAATGGATCGCACTGTACAAATGGTCGCTATCGAAGAGTAGGACAGTACAGTCCGGCAAAAACCGAAAGATGTCGGTGGTAGTCGAGAAGTGCAAACGCTGAATCACCGCCGCATTGCGCCATTTAGAGATGGTGCGATTCAACGGTCAAAGCAAAAGCGCCACTTTGAGTCGGCTTTTCACGAAAGTTCTGCCACTCACAGTGCTTTCCAGGTTTAGTACAGTGAGAGTGGCTGCTTTACGTGCTCTGGCGGCCAAAAATCGGCGCTCTAGTCGACGACTTGGCCGCCGCCCTTTGCCGAAGAGAGTGCAACGCTGAGTAGACAGGGCAGCTGCGGTGAGCTCCGCCCTGTCTGGAGAGCAACCGCCGCAGAAGCAGCACACTCGCAGGCGCGAGATCGCCTTCTCCAACCGTCTTCATCCTCACTCATTGTCTGGCACTCGATTGGAAAGGTTTTCTTTGCTGACCTAACAATTCTCGCCACTTTGCGATTTTTACGCCTCACCCTCTTCGACTTCTCAAACCCACCCGGTAAGTCCCTGGCCCTGGTTCTCACCTGCCATCTTGCCCTTTTTGAATGCTTCTCACTTGTCACGCCACTCGAGATTAGGTAGTTTTCGGGCTGTCAGTTTGCCGGCAAACGACTTACCTGTTTGCCACTCTGNAACCCACCCGGTAAGTCCCTGGGCCCTGGTTCTCACCTGCCATCTTGCCCTTTTTGAATGCTTCTCGCTTGTCACGCCACTCGAGATTAGGTAGTTTTCGGGCTGTCAGTTTGCCGGCAAACGACTTACCTGTTTGCCACTCTATGTTGTGCCACGTTGAAGGAACTTGAGTTGACCTGGTTCTCGTATTTCAAGTACTTTTCAACCTCTGCTTAGCTTTAGCTGATCACTGTCCACTGCCTGGACTGTACCTTTCTAGCAACATATATCAGTTTCCATGCCTTCGCCACCACCGCCCTTTTCTCAAGCCATAAATTGTTTTTTATTGTGCTAACCATTTCTGTGTAACACTTTCCAGTTTTAACAACCCAACGTCAACATGCGCGAATGTATCTCCGTTCACGTCGGCCAGGCTGGTGTCCAGATCGGCAACGCCTGCTGGGAGCTGTACTGCCTCGAGCACGGAATTCAGCCTGAGTAAGTTTCAGCTATTGACAGTAACTTTTTTACCCTGTGACTAACACTGTGAATACCACTTTTTCAGTGGACAGATGCCCTCTGACAAGACCATCGGCACTGGTGACGACTCCTTTAACACCTTCTTCAGCGAGACTGGCTCTGGCAAGCACGTTCCCCGTGCTGTTTACGTCGATTTGGAGCCGACCGTGGTCGACGAGGTGCGCACTGGAACCTACCGACAGCTGTTCCACCCCGAGCAGCTGATCACCGGCAAGGAGGATGCCGCCAACAACTACGCTCGTGGCCACTACACCATTGGCAAGGAGATCGTCGACGTTGTTCTCGGTTAGTTTATTTTGCTCACTGACAAGTCCAGCGTTCTAACGTGTTCTATTTTCTGCAATCTACAGATCGCATTCGCAAGCTGAGCGACCAGTGTACTGGCCTGCAGGGCTTCCTGATCTTCCACTCTTTCGGCGGCGGCACGGGCAGTGGCTTCACTAGCCTCCTGATGGAGCGTCTCTCTGTGGACTACGGCAAGAAGAGCAAGCTGGAGTTTGCCGTTTACCCTGCCCCGCAGGTCTCCACCGCCGTCGTTGAGCCGTACAACAGTATTCTGACCACCCACACCACTCTGGAGCACTCTGACTGCGCCTTCATGGTCGACAATGAGGCCATCTACGACATCTGCCGTCGCAACCTGGACATTGAGCGCCCCACCTACACCAACTTGAACCGTCTGATTGGCCAGATTGTCTCCTCAATCACCGCCTCTCTCCGCTTCGATGGCGCCCTCAACGTGGATCTCACTGAGTTCCAGACCAATCTGGTCCCATATCCGCGCATTCACTTTCCTCTGGTTACCTACTCGCCAGGTAAAGTTACTCATTGCTCATTTATATTTTTCATTACTAATCAACTTTTTCTTTAACACAGTCATCTCGGCTGAGAAGGCCTACCACGAGCAGCTGACCGTGGCTGAGATTACCAACACCTGCTTCGAGCCCCAGAACCAGATGGTCAAGTGCGACCCGCGTCATGGAAAATACATGGCCTGGTAAGTCTTGTTTACTTTACAAAGATATTGTTGAATAACTATTGTGATTTTTAGCTGCCTCCTCTACCGAGGTGACGTGGTTCCCAAGGACGTCAACGCCGCCATCGCTGGCATCAAGACCAAGCGTTCGATTCAGGTAAGTGTTTTGTGATGAAGAAGTCCACTAAAAGACCAATGACTAATTTTGTTTAAATTTTTTACTCAAAAGTTTGTGGACTGGTGCCCAACTGGCTTCAAGGTCGGTATCAACTACCAGCCACCGACGGTGGTTCCTGGTGGAGACCTAGCCAAGGTGCAGCGTGCCGTGTGCATGCTGAGCAACACAACTGCTATCGCTGAGGCTTGGGCCCGTCTGGACCACAAATTCGACCTGATGTACGCCAAGCGCGCCTTCGTGCACTGGTACGTCGGCGAGGGCATGGAGGAGGGCGAGTTCAGCGAGGCTCGCGAGGATCTCGCTGCCCTGGAGAAGGACTATGAGGAGGTGGGCCTGGACTCCACTGAAGCCGAAGGAGGCGATGGAGAGGAATTCTAAGTGGTGTGGCTCTTCCACTACCTACTTAATTGTGACTAATCTCTACCTGAGAAATGCACAAGAATTGAATTAAAAAACTGATTAATTTCAAAACGTTTTGATTTGTGTGACCGAATTTAATTTGGTAGGGTACGCTAACAGGAGTAGAGAGAGTTTATATTGATAATGTCTGACTGTGCTAGGCGGCTCTTGAAGTGCGACTCCATTATTCGTGCCCTACTATCACGAGGCACCATTGTGTTCTGGCCGTTCTTGCTGAAGGCCTTTGAGCCGTAAATCATGATGGAGTCGTAGGCGAAGCCGGTGGCAGGACGATACTGACTGGAGGGAATCTTCTGAAACTGGTCGTACATGCCTGGGTCAATGTTCTGCCAGGCGATGTTCAGGTACCGATCGCGATCCCATCGCATGTGCTTGCGACACAATTATCATTAGATCATTTCATTGAAGCCATTTTATCGCACGACATTTTCATCTTAGACCATTTTATCTCAACAGAAAACGCAATGAAATGGTCTAAAAAGAAAACTTGGCGCGATGAAAAAACCCGAAATATTACCTCATGGTACAGTCCTATAGCGTGAGACAGCTCATGCAAAGTGCTTCCCACGTCATGACACCCAGGACCAAGGGAAAGTAACTGCTGACCACCAGTCCTGCCGACTTTGGAATGACACCTGTGTTGTATGACCATTGCAGTTATCATCAGTCAGCAGTGGGTCAACTTGGACACTCGCTCACCCTTTACCGTTGACCATTAGCACATAGTCCCGTTCATTTCGGCGCTGTCGAAAGCGAATGCAGGTGCTCGCCTCAATCTCTCTCATGGCACGTCCGATCACTGATCTAAATGGGGCTGGTGTTTGAAGGAGCCCAGTAGGCCACAATGGAGGGAAGAGGAAGAATGGGAACAAGTAATCAGTGAGAAAGCAGGGTGCTCTCATTTGTCGCTTCTCTTCTGTTTGTTTTGCCGTTTGGTTTCGTTGCCTAGGCAGCCAGTGATCGCAGTGAATGCAGTCATCTAACTCATTGACCAGAGGCATGCAAGGTGCACATACCAAGTGTTCTGTCCACCGAGAAGACTACCACTCGATTAGGCCACTTGCCGGCACTGCTGACGGCAGCACTACTGCGGTAATTCGGTCGGCTGTTCCAGACGGGTGCACTGCCAGATTGCTGGCGCCAGGACGGAAATCGCACTCCCCACTGGGCACTGCTCACTCGATGCCCCACAGCTGACAATCTGGCTGATTAGTGGCGACTAGGATGGACAGTGTCCAATGGACAGTGTTCAACAGACTTACCACTTAAGAACTGCTGCTGCTTCTGCTGCCGGATACCGCTTCCGTTTCGTGCAAGTAATGTTAAGAGACAGCACCAAGTGGTAAGGCTAACAACTCCAGGGAATATGATTGGGCGACGACCAACCAGGGACGAGTGTGCCCCTGGTCGTGCTGATGTCACTGGCATTCAGAACGAATCGTCGCGTTTGGATCACTGGGCGCAGACATGGACACGTGATTTTCATGATTAGGTGAAAACTACACTTCTGCTGACCCGAAAGCGGTTCACTGGAACATGGTCAAAAGATGTGCACTGAATGGCGGCCAGTGATCGAGTGTTTCGACAATCACTCATTCATTTAACGAGGGCTGCTCGAGGTAGACAGACCGATTCAAACAGTGACCAAAGTCAGCTGTCGATGTGCAAACAGTTNCTGCTGACCCGAAAGCGGTTCACTGGAACATGGTCAAAAGATGTGCACTGAATGGCGGCCAGTGATCGAGTGTTTCGACAATCACTCATTCATTTAACGAGGGCTGCTCAAGGTAGACAGACCGATTCAAACAGTGACAAAAGTCAGCTGTCGATGTGCAAACAGTGATGCTTATACATGCGGATTGATCAGTTGGCTGTACATTGTGCTTTCATTCTTTTGTGTCTGTTGGCTTTGTGCGGCTAGTGCAGCACACTGCACAAAACCCGCGGTGACCGTGATTCCTNACTGAATGGCGGCCAGTGATCGAGTGTTTCGACAATCACTCATTCATTTAGCGAGGGCTGCTCGAGGTAGACAGACCGATTCAAACAGTGACCAAAGTCAGCTGTCGATGTGCAAACAGTTATGCTTATACATGCGGATTGATCAGTTGGCTGTACATTGTGCTTCCATTCTTTTGTGTCTGTTGGCTTTGTGCAGCTAGTGCAGCACACTGCACAAAACCCGCGGTGACCGTGATTCCCAGTATTTGGCTGCGTTTGCCGTTTTGTCACTTGCCCATCTAATTAAAGCAAACGACATTGACTCAGTTTGATTTGAAACAGACAGACGTGTTTCAAAGTTTACCCATTTTCCACACCATCATTAATTGATTGAGCAAGAGCTGTTCTTTGCACTTGTTTTGTAACACACGCCATTCAAGTGTACAAAAGCTAGAAAAAGAAAAAAGAAAAGCTTGTGTGATCTCCTCAAGCTGTGAAACCGAGATGNCAAGAGCTGTTCTTTGCACTTGTTTTGTAACACACGCCATTCAAGTGTACTAAAGCTAGAAAAAGAAAAAAGAAAAGCTTGTGTGATCTCCTCAAGCTGTGAAACCGAGATGATTTGGGTAAAAAGAATCAGCTGATGAACTAGACACGTGAAATATGTTCTTTTTAAGTTTTTACTCACAAAAATACTGTTAACAACTGCTTCAAATTCATAAAACTACAACTAATATAATTTGGGTAAAGAGAATCAGCTGATGAACTAGACACGTGAAATATGTTCTTTTTAAGTTTTTACTCACAAAAATACTGCTAACAACTGCTTCAAATTTATAAAACTACAACTAATATAATTTTTCACTAAATAAACAATTATTTGCTGCTATTTTGTTAGTGCAATCAATACTGTTTTTAGCTTCAGAATGTTCAGTCAATAGAACCAAGTGGGGACCAGGTAATCCTGCTTTCATTTTCATTTGTTTTCTTTGTCGCTTTAGAGGTTTCCACCTTCTTTGTTACAACTTCATCATTTTTAACACTCATAGCTTCATTTACGCTAGTCCAAGTTGACTCCTCTTTGTCATAGTCAGCAGAAGTAGGCATATCCAACTGTGTATCCAGGTCTACCATCTTATTGTAATAATCGTCTTCAAATTTCTCATCACTCTTTGACTCAAAAGGATTATTCTGTCCACTTTGACGCAAGTAATTGGTGGATACAGCAGAAATGGGACCAGTTCGAGGGCCTTGATGATAGTAAGTGGTATTTGAGTAGGTAAGGCGAGGGTAAGACTCGACAGGAACGAAGGAACTTTCAGATTGAATGGAAACATTTTCATCATTATTATCTGCTACTACTGACTGAGAATTATAATGCAGCGAAACTCCGGACATCGGGCCATTTCGTGGACCTGGATGGTAAGTGGTGCTGGAATAAGTCAGCCGGGGATAAGGCTGTGAATAGGCAGGTGGAGAAACATCATTTTGGGCCGGAGCTTCGTCTACTTTTTCCAGAGTCGATACCAGTGGATCAGGGCCATAGCGCGTTGAAAGGGCAGACATTGGACCGACTCTTGGGTTTTGAAAAGTTGTACTGGAATAAGTCAAACGAGGATAAGGCGTTATTTGCTCTGCTCCTTCTGATCTTTTAGGTAGTCTTTCATTTTCTACAACGGTATTTCTCGATGTCTCTAGTGATTGACTGTGAACACGTGGGGACACACCCGACATTGGCCCGATTCGAGGTCTCTGGAAAGTTGTGTTTGAATACGTCAAACGAGGATAGGGCACTGGTGCAACAGGCGCCATAGGTTTCACTGAAAAACGGTCTCCTGCCGTTTGAAGTGCTTCGCGTTGGTACTGTGCAGTGTGTGGTAGTGCATCGTTAGAAAAGCGTGAATCACTAGAGTGGCCCACTGATTGGGAGTAGATCTGCGGCGGACCAGTGTGACGCGAAACTGCGGAGTAGCTGGCCGTGTGCCAGGCTGGTGACTGATGCTGATGAACAGCTGCCGTTTTGCTAAGTGGAACTACTGAGGCAGCGGCGGCTACTGGTGTCTGCTGCTCAACTACTGTTGCTAGTTGATCACTACTAGACTTGGAGTCAAAGTCATGCTGAAGTGGCTCTTGGGACTCTGATCGCTTGCCGTCCAAACTGCCAACGTTTTTCATCTCCGGCATCTAAATTGTAGACTGAATGACGTTAAGCATTTGTCCTTTTCAGCAGTCATCTCTCAGCAGTATACTAACCTGACCCTTTTTGACCCGGTAGATGCGGAATCCAACAAAACCCAGCAAAGCCATGCCTCCGAAGAATGATCCGTAGATGAGCATCAAAATGAGGTACAGCGGCCAAATGGCCAGTCGCATCTTTAGCGTAAACTCGTCGTTGATGATGGCACCCTGACATCATTTAATCATCTTTTATTACTATAATTGAGAATTAATAGCTGGTACCTTTTTCATCCACATCAGAGGCATGACTGTTTCGGGAAAATTTCGAAACCCCCTGTAAAAGAACACACCATGTTAAACGATGTTGTTGAAGGGACTCGAGGGAGTCGATATCCAAAGTCTCACGCTAAATAACTGATCGGCTTTAAGAGAGCATTCATCTGTAACTTTTCTGCGCCTTGAAGAGGAGCACCCATAAACTAAAAAGTTGACGACAAACAAGTTTGACAGTTAGACGGAGATCTATTAAAAAGTTTGGTTGTACCGGCTCAACGTCGATGAATGCCTGGTGCTTCTCAGGATCCGGATGCATATTTTCTACATTGTTCTTTAGAGTATTGCTGGCTCCGTAAAAATGAGGAAACGAGTAGGCAGCAGGAGCTCCTTTCAGACAGGGACCTAAGTTGTGACAAGCTGTAATAACACAAATTGAACGAAAAGGCCAAATGCACAAACCTAAATCAAAGATTCCATCGCACCATTCTTCATTCTGTTGAAAAAACGTCAAATTGTATCATCGTCAACTTTTGAACTAAACTTACTTCGGGTGTGCGACAGAA